GTACTGGTATCCAATTCACCTCACATATTTAAAGGGTGGTATTTGTTCACTATCTGTCATTTTCCTCCTATCTTTTCATTGACCATGTGTTTCCCACATCTGAGATAATACATAAGTGTTGGAGGAGGCCGCTGTGTTAAAGTTAAAACCTTCCTTTTGCAGGGTGGTGGTGGCACACGCCTTTAATCCCAGCACTTGGGAGGCAGAGGCAGGCGGATCTCTGTGAGTTCTAGGTCAGCCTGGTCTACGAGAGCTAGTTCCAGGCAAAACCCTGTCTTAAAAAAAAAAAAAAAAAAAAAAACCTTCTTCCTTTGTATTTAAGCAGAAAGGGGAAATTCTTCCTTTTTATTTAAGCAGAAAGGGGGAAATGATGTGGGAAGTCCTTCTGTATATGTGTTGCTTTTATAGGTTAATGAATAAAGAAATTTCTTTGGCCTGTGATAGGGCAGAACAGAGCTAGGCAGGAAAATCTAAATTCTAGGAGAAAAAAAGGCGGAGTCATGAGAAGCCATGTAGCCCAACCAGAGACAGACACTAGATGGAACTTTACCCAGTGAGCCACACCATGTGGCGATACACAGATTAATAGAGATGGGTTAGTTTAGGATATAAGAGTTAGCCAGAAATACACTTAAGCTATTGGCCAAACAGCATTGCAAATAATATAGTTTCTGTGTGATTATTTTGAGTCTAAGCAGCCGGGAACGAACGAGCAGCCTCCCCTATCACATAAGCATGATGAAGGATGGTCTACTGTAGGGCCATGGTATACAGTATACCGTAGGGCTTCTATCTTGCTTGGCATTGGCTGCGGAGTCCAGATGCAGGTCCTTCAAGAGCAACACAAGTATGCTCTAGATAGTAGGTTTTTATTGTTAATTTTTTTAAATGAGAATTACTGGTTAAAGATGGCAAAATTATGGTGACAGCCCCCCCATGTCTTTCCCTGAAAGTCAGAGCACACTCATGAAGTTTAGAAAGAAATTTCAGACATCAATCACAAGTTCATTTTGAACATGGAATAGGAGGGTCAGAGCAAAAATAAAATCCACCACAGAGGGCTGAGGCGTGGTACACACGGAGACCACAGAGGTGAAAGTGTCCCACACAGGACCTTGCACACAGTAGGAACTCCCAAAGAAAGCTCATTTTAGCCGAGGGACTGCAAAGTTTGAGTCAAGTTAGAAAGGAGGGTCTTGGTAGAGAGAGAGAGAGAGAGAGAGAGAGAGAGAGAGAGAGAGAGAGAGAGAGAGGGGAGAGGGGGGAGGGGGGG